GGAGAGCAAGGGAGAGGGCAACTTGACCTCCAGAGACAGCTCTTCCTTTGGGAAGGGCAGCAGTCGGGCAGGAGGCCCAGGGACACAGACCCACAGTGGGGGGGGACCCACAGAGGGCAACCGGAGCCCTGCAATCAACACAGACTATAAAGCCTCTGCTCCTCAAAGGAGCCCCGTCTGCCTGCCGGGGGTGGGGGCTGTGTCATGCAGGGAGGAAGCCAAGGCAACCCCCACCCCCACCCCCACCCTGGCTGTGTGGGGAAACTGCACCCCAAATGCCTATGCTCTGAGAAGCCCTCCAGACCCACAGCGCATGGCTTAGAGGCGCCTGCCCTCCTGTTACTGGGGTCATCCGGAAGTGCTCAAGGTCACCCGCCCACCACTCTTGGTGACCACAAGCAGGGGCCTACCAGGCCACCGCGGTCCTGCCCCGCACCTCCCGATCCCATGCTGTCCCCCTCAGCAGGAGCCCAGACCACACCTGCGCTCGCCCTCCTGTCTTCAGCACTGGGGCCACCTCCACCCTTCCCTGTCGTCCCCCCCCCCCAGGGAGGCTCACCGCCCCACCCTCTGCCTCAGCTCCCCCGACACAGGCCTGACCACCGCCCGCCCGTGTCCCCACCCGTGTCCCCATTCACCCAGCTGCTGCCCCACTGCTCCCTCTGCCTCTCCTCCCCTAACTCGGGGCTCACAGCCCCCACCCCAGCTTCTTATTTGGTTCAACCAGAAAGCTGCAGTGGCTAGCAGAGGCCCTCCCACCCGCACCACATGCCCCAAGCGGCCGCCCCATGCCCCACTGTGCAGGGTCACTGAACGCTCCAGTCCCCAGACCCACTCCTCACCCCTCCCCTTCCTTTCCTGTGAAGCTCAGGAGCCTCCACGGCCCCCCCAGCCCTCCCACCTCCACCACAGCCAGTTCTGATCCACCCGGGTCACCCAAATTGGGGTTCTGCTTTGCTCCCCACCCCCAGGTGGAAGGGCCCCCCCAGGGGAACCAGTGAGCTCCTCTTGGACTCAGGTATGGGGCTCCTCAGACACCCCGGGGAACGCATCAGGGCAGGCCCCTCACCTGCCCTTGCGTCTCTTCCCCAGAGCCCGAAGGCCTGAAGGACAGTGACGGTACACAGCTCCCGGAAGCTGGCACACTCAGGGGTAGGTGCTCCCCTCGCTGCCCCGAGGCACCCGCCTCCTGGGTCTCCTCCCACCCCTGTGCTCCTGCGCCGGCTCCCCTCCTGGCTCCCTGCCACTCCTGAGCCTCCCCAGCAGGGGCTCTGCAGACCTGGGGCTCGTTCTCACCCCAGGGGGCGTGCAGGCGGAGGAGGCCGAGGGCTACACGGAAGAGGTGGGGGGAGGGGGTGCCCAGCCTGCAGGGTCCAGCCCCGCAGGGCCTAGTGGGTGTTCTTTTGTGAGAAGATGCATAGATCGTAGAAAAGAAAGACACGAGACATAAGAGAAGAATTCAGCTGGGCCGGGGACCATGGCTGCCAGCGTCGGAGTCAGCAGTGGCCCCGAATGCCAGGATGCACCGACATTTATTGTATACAGGGCGGGGGCAGGGCTGGAGAGTGACTCTTCTGACATGACTGGCAGGGGTCGAGCAAATCACGTACTGACAATACAGGGGCCACGTGGGCACAGTTCAGGGGGTCACGTGGGTAGAGCACAGAGGTCCCCTCCCTCTCAGGTAGCCGCTGCAAGGAGGGGAGGCACCTGCGTCAGTGTCTTTCTATCTCTTATCAGACAGATCAAAGGCTTTTAGGATTCCTCTATTCTTACTTCTCACAGCTTCTAAGAACTTACAAGGGAGCATCGGGTGGGAAAGTGGAACATGAAGGTGGACAAGGATGGTGACCGTCGGAGCACAGCACCACGGAGAGGTGTTTAAGCCCCTGGATGTCTGCGGGCGGCCTGGCAGGGTCAGACCTTCCTCAAGAGCCGGCAGAGCAGAGTTTTCTCTGAACTCTGCAGTGAGAGGGAAACTCCCCCTCACGGCCTGTTAAGCAGTGGGCACCTCCCGAGATGCTGGCCTTACTGCAAGGCCTTCCTGCTAAGTAACGGGCGCCTTCCCGGGC